ATGTCCCTGTGATTGTCGACGATCGGCTGAAGGATGAATTCCACGTGTGAAAGCAAAAAGTTGCAGGAAAGAATATCTTTTGTTCGCTTGAGATTGTACTTTTTCAGAAAATTGAGTTTGCAGATTTCGCCTATTATAGGTATTTAATTTTAACTTAACTTTACGTGCGAAAGTAAATAAAAGAAATATAGGAGAATATTTTTCCATAAAACGTTTCGTTTTGTTTTGACGATGTTCGTAATTTCTTGTAGAAATTTGACTTTCGGTTTGACTTACGGGTTTCGATTCTCTATTATACACTTACTATAAATCTTTTTCTCTGATATCAGTCAGTTCAAATTTTATTCTTATAAAAGCAGAGCTCCGAGAGAAAGTATTCCTTAGAATTGTCTACGATCTTTTCAAACTCGACTTTTTTCCTTGAAAACGAAGCTTTCGAAACAAGAAATATTTTTTCATCTCGAATCAATCCCTCGGTAATACCGAGATCGGTTGTACCATAATCACAGGGATGTTCCGTAGAATTCCTGGCGATCATCGAGCTTCGATCCCTTAAGTTCAATTTAAGTATCGAACGACGAATTACTTTAAAATAACAAGATCGAATTAATAATAAAATTATGAATTTCGATCGAAAAAGTATGTAATTTTTTTATAGTTTCAGACACTTTCATGGATGATAAAATATATAGAGAAACTTGTTTTATTTGTAACAAAAAATACAGAAAAGCCAAGATACATGAAACATTTGAAGTATCGAGAAATCATTATAATTATCATTTTTCAATTATGTTCTTTAAATATGAAATTGTATAAACATCGGTTTTTAGATTATTACAAACACTATTTCATAGATTAAAAACAAACGCAAACTAAGGAGGAACTAACGATTTCTTCAAATGAAACGTGAATAAATAAGAAATAAATAAGAAATAAGTAAATATTGGAAATTCTGAGCGACCCTAATTCAATGGCCAGAAGCACGTAGTTGTCTGTGACTCAATAATATTAGTTGAAAGTTAAGATGAAATCCCGAAGGATCGAAGATCGAGCGAACAGTTGGGATTCGTCCCAGTGTAACTATTTTATTTAACGCGATTTTATTCTATGATTATTTAAGAACTTACCCCAAGCGAATCCATTGACAGATTCTACTAACATCCCAATCGTATATCGCTCACCGATATTGGTTGTACATAATACTCGACATGTAATCATTTTGTACGTTCGTTTTATTATTATTATTATTATTATTATTATTATTATTATTATTATTATTAT